ATGCCTTTGAAGTCAGATACTTTATGTGATGGCTGTTTGGCTGTGGGCCTTGCATCATTGTGGTCGGAGCATTTCCGATTATTTCTCTTTAATCTTGGAGCAAGAAGACACAATGCCAACAACCAAAACCAAACTGTACTTATCCACAAATAATTCGCCCATAACTTAAATCATGAGTATTACTCCAGAAAACATAAGCTGTTCAGGGTCGGTGATGTATTATCCTATCAGAAATGCAGTAAATAAAGTCATTACAATAGGAAGAAAATTGGGCAGTTAGAATACTTTGTTTCTCTTCAGTAACACAAATGTGAAATAAAAAAAAATTAGCTCTCATGCATGATTTTCAGAAAATATTAACTGCTTGAATGCCAAGGTTAAACTAAGCTTATGAAGATTCACAGGAGAAAATAACAGCTGAGAACAGTCCCTAGTAGGCTATGAAATCAGAAAACAACCTGTAGTTCATCACAATTACATTTAAGGAAGAGTTTTAAGGATTTTTGTTTTTTTTTTGTTATTCAGTAAGTTGATTTGCTATGCAAGGGACATGCATCAAGACATTTCAATTAAGTAATATTTTAACATTCTTAGCTTGGCTTAGACTGTAGATCATCACAGCACCAAAACAGAGATTAGCAGATGTTAGGCTCTGCCTGGAAAGCACTCAGTTTTGGTTTTGGGTTGCAGAGAAGAGGGGCAGTGGTCTATACTCTTGTACAAAGCCAGAGTTCTTACTCTGTTTCAGAGCCTGAGCAAAGATGCCAATTTTTCTAATCTGGTTCCTTCTTGTGTCACTGAATAAGCCCTAGACATTAAAATGAAACATTTCAGATGCTTATTAACTCAGTGCTATCAAAAATCTGACTCATCTTTTTTGAGAAATGGACTAGAATTGAGAAGCAGCTGAAGTGAGGCTCTTCAAGAGAGACGTGATTGCTAGGGAAGCACAAAAATAAGAGTGAAATGCTTATCTTATTTCACCAGTAGAAACCTACAGTAACTGAAGAATGTCGTCTGAGCAAAATCACATCTCTCCTACTACTTTTCAGATGTTTCTGCTTAGTTTTCAAATTTCAAGTCTCGGTAATGGAAATTATATTACAGGAAAACCAGATAAATTCCCAGGTTAAGTAAGAATGCAAAAATATTAAACTATATAAAGTATTATTCAAAGTTTATCCAGCCCTCACACAGAGCAAAGCCTAAACCAGAGCCTTCTTGAATTCAATGCATACCTTTTTAAATAAGAAAAAGATTTGCCCTTGAGGCAAATTAGCTGAGTGGTCTGGCACTGTCTAAATATGCTATCATGTCTTGCTCTCTTACATATTCAAGCCCCTTTCTTCCAGGTTGTCCAGAGCAGAGGCAAGACCAGCTTTATGAAAAGGTATCTTAGCCACAGTCTACAGCACTGATATCCAAAGTGGTGAGCATGTACCACAGGGGGGGCACAAGACAATCGGCTGGAGTGCAGGAAGAAAATGTTTTTGTGCTGTAAATAATTTTTTTTTAAAATTGTCTTTATTTTATCCTTTTTAAAATTTCTATATATTGGTATGATCGACAATGTCCTGAAATTATTAATACAGTAATTATATAATTTATAAATAAACGTACATCTATTGAGGGTGTGTGCTGAAAAATATTTTACTGATTATTAAAAACTAGTGAACACCATAGAATGCTTGAAAACACCTTCACCCATAGACCCAGACTAAAAAGATACACTTCCAGGAACTGACATTTCTTCAGCTTGGCTGAATTTGATCTATTATCACTCACCACTTTAGGAAAATACAGAGGCACCTGCATCTCATCCAGTCATACTATAGATTTAGCTTAACTAGCCTACATGCTATACCCTTTCAAGCTGCTCTTGACCATCTTGTGTAGAAAACTGAATTTCTGTTTAACACACTAGTTATCTAAAAGTCTGAAATAAACCACTCAAGACTCTATACAAAATATATTGGTTTATCTGAGAGCTTCCACATGTGTAGAGCACAAAGGAAGGAGAACAAAAGGTCAAAATACAAACATTTGAAAAGTCTGACCATGAGAAAAGTAAAAAATCTTTCAGTTTCCCCCATATGTGAGATGCTCTAGATTCCTTTTTAGGTTCATTTCCATTATCTCAGAATAACTAGTTTCCAAGAAGGATCACACCCAGCAGAAACTTCAGAAAAATGCCTTGGTTTTAAAGAAAGGACTAGAAATCTAATGGGAGTAATTATTATTATTATATAACTTCCAGCCCAATCTAACAGCTACAGGTGGCTTGGATCATCCTTACAGACATTAGATTTGCCTTCAATTTCAGATGCTTTGTATTAACTTACCCTGAAGATGTGAGGATACGTTCTTAGCTCAGTTTAGATCAGTGGGAATTTTGCCATAGACTCCAAGGGGCCCTTACCTTCTACAATTTTCCCTTAGTATGTGTTTGCCAAAAACTGCATCTTGATTTATTTGCGCATTACTGCTAAAAATATTTGGCCTGACATGTAATGGGTTCAAATTTTCAGGTGGTGCAAATCATTGTAGCTGCATATGCCAAATTAATCCACCTGAGGATGTACTAGTGGGTTTTATCCTATTTAAAATCATTCATAATAGTAAAGTAATTGTTTTTAAATCTTCCTGGCTTTACACAGCAGGTAATGACAGTGGTTTCACCCAGGGCTACTGCTTTTTTGTGAATATAAGCTGCAAATCAAGCAAACTCATCCTTTCAAAGATGTATTATTCCTTGAAAATATACAATTAACTTATGTTTTTTTATTTTGTCCCAGCACCACTCAGAAATCAGACACTGTATCTAAATTTAAAAAACACAAATGCAAACATGCCTTTGCAACACTGCTTACAAGAGAGAAACTTTGAGTAACAGTGGTTTATTTCTACTAAAAAGTTGATTTGTATTAGTAGTTTGTGCAATTTTACATGTTACTTGCTAACAATTAGCTACCCCTGTGCAAGATTATCTTTTAATCTCCTTTTTTCAGAAAACTGTCTAAAGTAAACTCAACATATATATATTATAACTAGTCTAAATACACCCTCTCTTATTTTAAAGGCATTATTCCTTGTCCTGGCACAATAGGCCCTGCTAAAAAATCAGTCCCCATCTTTCTTATAACCCCCTTTAAGCACTAACGGGTTGCAATAAGGTCCAAAATACTTCCCAAATTATCCCTGAAATACCTGCTAACTTCCCTGAAGTTACAATAGCAGTAGCAAGTATGGACTGACAAAATGATGGATAAACATCCCCAGTCTGACCGTCAACAGAGGTGTATTTCCACTAAGTTTCATATAGCACATGTGGTTCTTGCTGAACTGTGTGAGCAGCTAAAGCAGCAAAACTGCAAGTCAGGCATGATCATCTCTTTGTTTTTTTGTGAAGAGCAATGGAGACAATTTGTAAGAGCTGTGAAATTCATCTTCAGGGTGAAGTTTTAATGCAATTCAGCTTTTCATCTCTTGGCGTATATATACGTGTTCAGTACCTTAAGTCATAATACAGAGTGATTACCTCACTCATTCAACACTGTCTCCCACTGTTTCTTTCATAAAGTAATCAAGATCTACATAAAAACTAACCAGAATTTCTGCCCCATTAATAGTCCTTTAGAAAGCTGTTGCCTCAACTGCTTTAATAGTCGGAAACCACTTTATCACTCCCAGGTGAAATTCATTCAGGGTAGCTCATATCTAGTTTTCTCTCTTTTTTTGTGCCAAAATTGTCACAGAGGAAAACAGCTTCTCCTCCTCATGGTTTCAGAGGAACAATATTGCCTCCAGATCTCATTTTGTTTGTCTAAATGAAGAAAATGCTAGCTGCCTTCTTCTCAAGAAAAAGCTAACTACTTTCCTTGATACATTAGTGCTAGATAACTTCTCCTGTGTATCCATTTTTCTAAACACAGATGACCAGAATTGTACCCACGGTTCTAGACAGAATCCAGAAAAAAATAATAGGGCTGTCTAAAATGGCATGAATATTTTCTTGTCTACTTTGTCTGTCTTGTTCTTGTCTGTCTGTCCCATCATATCTAGCTAAGTATGTTTTACACTTGCCATTGTTACAGCCACACTACTTCCTTTATTTTTTTTTAATTATACTTTGTAATTAAATTTGTTTTGGGACAGAGAGTATTAATGTGTGTTTCATTCAACAGGCATTTCAACACTTACGTGCATGTTTCGTTCAGAATTATTGTCCACGTGTTTCTCTAGATGGCTAAACTGAAATGTTTTTCATGACACAGAAAATTTGCCCTCATTATTTGCTTGGTTCTGTTTCTTTACAATAGCTGACAGTGATTTATAATTCCCTCAATATCCCTAAACCTGCTACAAGTCAAGTTATTCAAACATCATTTCAAAAAATAAGCAAGTCTGCTGTCTTCTGCGTAGTTCAACAATGCAGAGATAAGAGCTCTCACATGCTTATAAGAAGTGTGAAAAAATGAAGAAATCTAAGAAAACAACAAGGTTTGTCCCTACCAGAGAGAAAAAGAAAATAGTATTATTAAGAGGTAAACTGACAAGAGTACTGTTGGAAAAAAAGTAATTAAATGATACATTTGTTAGAATGATTTGAAAAGAGAGGCCTATTTCCCATGGATTTTGCTAGAAAAAGGATTAGGAAGTATGGGCCAATTTATTCTGGATATATGTGTTGGCTTCTCTGGTATGACAACAGCAAGGAATAGTTCCAGAATGTAAATTTGACTGCCTTGAAACTACTGAGAAAAACAAGCCTTACTTTGTCTGACAACATCCCAAGACCCATATTTATATACATTGTTCCTAAGTCAAAGATTTCAATGAACAGCAAATTAATATAGGGATATCTAAAAGAAACAATGTTTTGAAATAGGGTAAAAAATTGCTTTCTAAATTATTTTAAAAAATTTATTTCTAATTTATTTACTGCAGTGAATAAACAAAGCACTGGAATGCATGAAACCAAATTTATCTATCTCACTGACCTTGAAGCTGTCGTCCTTTGTACAAATCCTTTGTTTTGGCTGGGTGAGCTCTGGCACCATTATCACACTTAGGTTGTTCATACCTAAAGAATAAACAAGGAGAGAGTAAAACCATCTAAAGTTCATTTGATTAAGAACTAATTTATTTCTAGTTTTGTAGTCTTAATTAACCTTGTACCTTCTTTTATTCAGGGAATAAGCTTGGTTTTCATTCACAAAGTACAATGTAAATTTGTCTAAATACTATCCATTTACCTCAAAGAAGCCAGGAAATCTTTATTTTCCAGGTGTTGATAACAAACTAAAAAACCCATTCCACAGGGAGAAAAACTGGGGAAGGAGAAAACTGTGGGGACTTGCTATAAAGAAATAGATAATAATAATTTTGGGAAAAAAACAACCAACCAACCAACCAAAAAAAAACCAAAAAACTACAGAACCAAAACCAAAGTCATGTTTCTCTTCCACCTACCAAATCATAATGCTACAAACAACATGACAAATTCTGACATCTGACATTCATGGTGGGAAACACCAGAGAAGCAATTTCAAAGTCACACCAAGGCAGATACTGTAATTAGTTACTCCTGCAGCCCTAGAGCCATGTGCTCCTACTCTACCCTCTCTATAAAAAAAGTGTTAGCTTACAGAAGAAGGGCTAATTATGAACAGCTAACATTTTGAACAAGAGTAAAGGACTGATATGGTTTCCAGAAGAAAGGGAGCTGGGTTGGAACTGCCTGAAATGGATTGTGAAAAAGACTGAATCTCCACCTGTTACTTCAATATTCTGGTTCCTCTCTGCTTTCTGACTTAATGTTATTTCATTAGTCCAGCTGGCAACAAGAAACTCTGCACTATTTGTACTTCCAACAAACATAGACTTATGCAACACCACTAGAAATATCTTTTATGCAAAGCTGGGAGGCATGGGAGCATCTGCTGCTGAATCTCACTCAGCCTGACAGAATCTCTTCCTGAGAAATTTGACTTTTTCATTCTCCTAAAGGAGCTTGAAGCTGCAGAATTTAGTGTGCAACATTTCAGAGAAGGTTTCAATTAGGAGTTAAACACTTAGTAATATGACACATACAACTTTGCATACATATGTGTTCAATAAATATAGATTCTCTCATATTATATATAACTGCTCATCTTTCTTTGAAATTCTTATTCTAAGTTCCTTAAAATGATATTTATTGAACAGGATACTAAAATGTCTAATTAAAAGGTACTAATCTAAAATATTTGAAACAAAATATACTTCTTAAAATAATCAAATAGTGGCTATGTCCTGAGTCCAGGTCAGACTGCCCTTAACAACAATACCTAAATATTCTGATCTTAATTAGGCTGAATAATTTAAAAAAAAAAAATCTTTTGAGTGTTTAATTTATTTCCACACCATCTGACGAAACTGTCCACTGGCCCATCAAATTTTGTCTGCTGCAAGAAGGTACACTTGTTTTCATGGACATGGGAGAGCTACAGGCACTTTTTTTCCCCTAAAGAACAGCAG